AGTTTATGAAACACAACCCTTCAGATGTTATTTAGCAAAGAGTAGGAATAGAAAAGCAATACAACGAATAGAGCATTCATAATATGACGTCTAATGCATGTTAGCGTAAGTCGTGTGATGTGATCAGTAAGCTTGAATGAGTGTAGCTGTTCGAAAATCAGTGATATGCACAGGAAAGGCTGCATTAAAGGCTCTGACTTGTGCTCAATTTTTTCTTTCGTGGAGAAGACGTTACGTCGAGAAAAAATCTATCTTTATTTCTCGTCAGGCAGCCATGTATCAGGCTTCGTATTGGATTCTTCAACGGTATTTAGCCAGCGCTTCTGAATATACATGCTCATCTTTCTTTCTATCAACTAAAAGGTGAGTGAGGAATTTCACGAAAGTACTCGCACAGGAGCGATGGCAACTGGAATGGTGAAGTGCATGAGCTTGCCGTCACGACATCCTTTTCTCTAGTAAGAGCATTTGAAACCTCACGTCACTCCACCCAGCAGTATGTATCTCGGAGATGCGGATTTTGAGATCGTAAGAGGTGTGTATGGTCAGGATTTTTGTGAAGTTCTTAGTGAGATTATTTTTTGCTCCCATTTCGATAAGATTGGTGCAAGTCGGTTCGGCGTAACTAATGGACCAGGGCACTGCAAAATTATGGATCCATGAAAGACGTGAGTTCAGGGATATAATCGAAAAGAACAGTCAAAATCAAGTGGCACCACATTTTGCGGTCGGAGCACAGCAATGGTTGTAGCTGTTGAGCTAATTTGCATTTTATTGCGTTCAATGCCTCACTGCGTTTCGATTAATGCCAAACTTGTGAAAAGTTTACAAAATGAGTCCATCAGCCAAAAACCTTGAAATGACGATTTTTACGGTCTTTAGAATTTCGAAAAGAGGGTTTATTTTTGGTGGATCGGGCCAGTTTCTGTAATATTCTTGTTCAGATAGCCAAAGTCACCTCAAAGCCGTTTGAAGTGTCTCAAAATGTTCATTCCAAGCCGAGATATCTATTCCGAAAGTTCGGACTGTGAGATCGTAAGGGTCGGCATTTTTTGTGAAATTTTTGGTCCAGAAATTTTTTGCTCCGTTTTTCAATGATTTTAGTACCAATCGATTCAACTTAGCGAGTGGATTGTGTTTAGCACAAAATTATAGCGTTCTGAGAGACGTTAGATGAGAAAAATGCTTCCAGAAGAACAGTGATGGTGCCAAACTTAATGGTGTATTTCATGAAAACAAGGCAAAGATTCACAATTTTGTCCATCGCAGAACAATCTTATACGATTAAGTACCATCGCAGAAAAAAACCTGAGAAGAATTTCTATCTCCATGCAATTTGTAAAAAAATCTTATATCAAGTTCCCAATCGATTAATTGATCCTAAAGAATATTTATTAACTTAACTCAATGAGTAAATAATGGAACACTAACAATGACGACTAATCAGATGCCTACAGGCATAGCGAGGGATGAATTCTACCGTCGAGGCGGGCTGTTCAGCAGCTGGAACATATGAAAAGGTCGAGAGTAACAATCCATTAAAGCATATTAACTTTAAAAAAAAGCATTCGGTAAGCCGGAAGGTGCAATAGCAACGAAGAGAAACGAAAATAATTTAACTGTCTCACCACGTTCACTTTCCGTTGCAAAAGTCAAAATTTTTAGGAAGTCTTCATCAAAAACCTAAAGAAACTAATTTATTGGTAGGTTCATCATCGTTTGACGAAGAACATCACTAAAAAGCAAAATTGTTGAATGCGAAACCTACGATACTTAATCACTTGAAAGTACATATGTTGAGGTTGCATATGTCCAATTTAAAAAGTACACAAAAATAACGAGAAAGCGCAAATTTAGCTCTGATAAAAGCAACTCTTCGGACGAGAGTTCAGTTTTACCTCATCAATATGCTTACATCTTAATTTGACCCAAATTAATTATAATTTCCAGGAACAATACATGTGATCAATCATACAGCTGAGATAAATTAGGTTTTGATGGATAAAAACTTGAGAATAAGGACGTGAACTCAATGAACAAGTAGTTCGCATCGGAATCACTTCGAAATCAGTGTGTTTAGTTTGTAGAGATACAGTGCAGTGAAAATAGGGGCAAACATAGCAGAAACAAAACCGTGGCTTTGGAAAGCGGTTGAAATCATACAAATATGCAAAAAAAACAAATGTCCTCATCTTCTGCCAAAGGCGGTAGGTACGTTCATTATGATAATAGTGATCAAAAGAAACACCATCTCAATATCAGGTTGTTTGTATTACGAGAATATAACACAAATTGAGTTTGAACATCAGCTTCTCATCAAACGTTTATCGAAACAATGACCGATTTTGCCGTGTTCAAGCGACCCATACCCGCAAATTTTCTAAGCAGCATTTAATTTTTGTAGTATGCTGGTATCTTCATTTAAGAATTACATTACGTATGTATATTCATTTATTTATTCAGTTATCAATTTTTCGTGCTTTCTTCAAAAGTAATAATTGCCAGCAATGATGAATAGAATGCAATGAAGCAGAAACGAATGAAAAAAGGAATGCAACAAATTAAATGAAATTATTAATTAGTCACCATCAGAAAGAGTAGCTGTAACGAGTTGTGCGTTGAGGAATGCTTGTTATGGTTTCTACGTAAGTGTTCTTAATTGTTGTTATTATTATCGCTTCAGTAATCACGGTGTTTGATTGATCATGCATCAGTCTCACCCATTTGATGCAGTCATCTTCGTCAGTCACATGATGACCGCTTCAGTTTAACTCAAGTGCCAGTAATAAACGGTGCTCATG